TTTCCTCCTCTAACTTGTAGGTGTCAGGTATTTTCTCCTGAAATGTGAATATAATTAAGACACATATCTCATTTCCCCCACATGGGACCATTTAGTTACAGAAAAACACTGATTCTGTATTATGATGAGATGTGTGATTATTTTATGATATAGTATAATGTAGGAATAGTAGAAATAAGGTGCAGAATGAATGTAATGCACTTGAATCATCCTGCACCACCACTCCACTCCTCCATCCTGTGCAAAACTTGTGTTCCATACATCTGTTCCTTGGTGCCAGGAACGGATGGGACTATTTAATTCCTTTATAATAAATGTTATCTTTGATATATATGGGTATATATACCTTTTGCCTTTTGCTCTTAACAATTGAGACAGTTCTTACATCCATGTGATTCATCTATTAGTGTTTTTCTGTTTTAATTTCTTAGTCTTTATTTTTTGTAGTGCTATAGTTTTATAACCTACATTAGTGTCAATAATGGTAGTTATTGTTACTCTTAAAATTTAGAAGTTCTTTGGGTGATTCCATATACGGGGAAACATTGGTTTGTGAGCATAATTTGTTCTGGAAACATGCTTGTCATTCAAAGCACTTGTATATAAAAGCAGATTTCCCCACAAGAAATAATAGAAACTCAAATGATTCGTTCCACAAGCTCCAAAATACTATTTATGTAATAATGATTACAGGGCCAGGGATATAGCTCAGTGGTGCAGCACCTACTTGGCAAGTGCAAGGTCCTGAGTTCGATTTCAGATACCATCCCTTAAAGGATAAAATGTTTAATAAATAAAAGTAAAAGTGATTACAATACTCTCATATAATATAAAATATGAAGAAAACTAAATTAACCTGCACTTATCTTTGAAAACTTTCATGGCTGGTTAAAGAAGACGGGAGTAGAGGGTTTTGTGTGAGACACCTTTCATTATCACTAACAGAATCACTGCTGTTTATTAGCTCAGTGGAATCTTTTTCGTTTTGTGCAACTTTAATGAGGAACCTATCCAATGGCACTTGCTTTTGGCTCCTTTGAAAAGTTTTGCAGAAATTCGACTTTGCACTGGAGTTAAACAGATTCATCACTCACACTGCTACAGCTTTAGGCAGGTGGTGCTTCTCTACAATATTTTACACTATTTTGCACATTTTACACATCTTGCTAATCTCGTTTGAAGTGAGGAAATCCTCTGCCTTTTTCTCCTCCTCTGCAGAAGAGATCTCCTCCATAACCTCTTGATTTCAGGAGTTGATCATCCATAACCCAAAAATGAGAGAGAGACAGAGATGGGTCATTGGCTCCGTTGTGAGCATGTGCTGTTCAGCATCACATACTGCTCATACTGCAAGATGCTGCTCGTTCATCAGGTTAAAATTTATTAGACATATTTGTTACTTGCAACTGATGGTTTTACTGTATGTCTTTAACTTCCTAGATAATTTTTCTTTTTCATGTTTTGGTACCATCTACTAAAATGAAAGCTTTAAAAAAATTACAAAGAAAGCTTGTTGAATTTGCTACAATAGGATGGGTGTTATTATGTGTGTCAAATGTGTACCAATAAAATTAATTTTTAAAAAAGCTTGTTGAAAACTGTAGTATATTATAGATTACATTTGTGTACAATGGTCTTTATCACAATGAGTTTTGCCATCTGCATTCATTCTATATGTTATGAATTTTTTGTGCCTTTGTAAATTTTTGTTTTCTCATAATTTCAACATGTTTTCTTTGCAACACATGTTTACATGTGCTGTACCATGTGTACATGACATCTGTATAAAAGGGGCATTTAATACTAGCTGTAAGACTGGACAAAGGCCTAAAATATGAACGGTCAGTATAAAGACCTCGAATATGGCTGGTCCCCACATGCTTTATTACTTATTTTTCGGGGTACACCTCCTCATGCCCCATCCCCTGGCTTTCTATTCTTTGTTTTTGTTACTATAGCTCTGTAGTATATCATGCGCCATTTTTCTCTCCCAAATTACTGTGGCTCATGTTGTGTTCATATCCAGGAGGAGATTTCAGGTGAATTTCCGGGGCTTAGTTTTGTGAGGAGCGGAATCTCCCTTCCATTAAGGTTCTTGAAAAGTGAGTACATTTTCTCAAAAATGAGTAGTAGATGAGCTAATGAGTTTCAGTTTCTTTTTTTAAAACATTCCTAACAGTCTGTCCTCTATCCCCATATCTGGACATTGGAGATTAATACGAAATCCTGTAGGACAGTACTTGTCAGATCCTATACACGTTCACATGTGACTTACTGTTTTGTGTGGTTCTTTCTTAACGTGGAAATGTCAATAAACTGGTGTATGTGTTACTTAAAAGGGGAGATAGTTTGACTTTTCCTCTGGAGAGAGGAAATGCAGCATACCTTACAAGGTTGATACCTCCTTCAGACATGAAAACTGAGTTTCTTTCATTATCTTCACTGGACTCTTTACACGGGAAACTTTCTTATTTAAAACTGTGTGAACAAAGATAAGCGGTAGAGAGGCCCTTGTAAACTTCCCCCAACCTCAGGCCGCTGCAGGGAGGACCTTGAAGCCGTGTGCTCTGAGGTCTCCACGGGCAGATTCTAGTGCAGCTTTGGTTACAGGACTCCTCTGTCCTGAGGGGGATCCCCAGCGAAGAGAAGGAAGAAATGGCTTTTTCTCAGGTAAATGTGTTGCAGGACAGGGCCTTCAGACCCTTAGAATGAGCACAGCTGACCACTCTGGCTTTCATCCTCTTGCTTAGCAGAGGTTTTCCCAGCCAGCTTATTTACATTTGTTCTTAGGATACTGAGTTAACTCCTCTACATTCTCCTGTACATTCGGAGCCTTCCCTCCCTTCTTCCATTTCGGTCTTTTGCTACCACACACAGTTCTTGGGCTGAATAACTAACCTTCGGTATCGGAAATGATTTCTTTCTGAGAATGAGCCTGGAAGAGGTTGGTATCTGGACACCCGCTGAGGGTTGGAAGGACCTTTGAATATCGCTGCAGGAAGGAAACGCGCAGTGTTTTTCTTCCTTCCCGATGATGCTCCCGGACAGCTGGGTTCACACAGGAATGAACGCGATTCACATTTAAACAGGACGAGTGTTCATTTGCCCAGAATAACTCGGGAAGTTCTGAAAAGGGAAGAAATCACAAGTTATTCTCTCTGCTTTCACGGACTGTAGGAGACATGCACAGCTGGAACTTTACGTGACGCTCTTTACCAGGAGATTGAGATCATGCTTCTCTTTTTTGTTTGGTTTTAGCCACTAACATCACAGCATTTCTGTGCACTCACACTGAATCCCCGTTTGTCCTCTTATGGCTGATTTAACTTTGTTCTCTTGGTTAAAATGCTGTCAGCCAGATTCTGCAGTATAAAGTTAACTGGTTTCTTCTTTATCAGTAGTTAATAACCTGCGTGAATCGTCATTTAATGTGGAAGCTGTTTTCTTTTAAACTTCTCTTGTAGTGTGCTTCTGACAGTGCAGGCTCTTACATTGGTTTATTGAAGATACTGGTGCATTACTTAGTCTTTAAGTTTTAATTTTATCCCACTTTCATGGCACCTACACCTCTTTATTACTTCCTATTATACTCAGCAAAAGAAAGTAAGAAAAACATATTTCAGAGTCTTAAATTTCAGAATTATAACTCAAATCATAAATGAAAGTAAAATGTTCAGTAAACCATCAAACTTAAAATGTATTTTTTTTTTTTTTTGAGACAGGGTCTCACAATGTAGTTTAGACTGGCCTTCAACTCACTAAGTAGCCCAGGCTAGCCTCGCAATCATGGTGATCCTTCTGCCTCCACCTCCTGAGTGCTGAGCTGATACGCATATACCACCATGCCCAGCTACAGCTTTCATTTTAACTTCTGTCCTTAAATTTAGTGTCTTTATAGTGTCTCAATAAAGCCTCATACCCAAATAAACTTTTAAGTTTCATGTAATTGATTATATTTCTTTATTTCATTGACATCAAAGATACTGTTTTTATTGTATGGTTAACATTTTTATGTATGCATAAAACAACACTTGATCAATTTTGTATCACTACCATGTTATTATGTTTCCATTCTTCATCCCAGTTATGAAGACCCGGAAGAACCTTTTATCATTGACATGTTCTTTTGGACTATGTGTTCCTTTTATAAAATAAATTTGTGTATATAACTATGGCTCTATCATTTACAGGATGTTTAACAAAACATTGTCAAAGAGGAAAAACGGGCCTGGGGATTTAGCTCAGTGGCACAGCACCTGCCTGGCAAGTGCAAGGTCCTGAGTTCAATTCCTGGTAGCCACCAGAAAAAGAAAAAAGAAAAAGAAAAAATGATGCTGTTACTGTTATTATAGATTTTCTTGTATCTCTGCATTGTTATGAAAACAATTAGAATTCTGTTATGTTCAAAAACATTGTTGTACTCATTGTGTTATTAAATCCTATACATTTCATAAGGTTCAGGTACACTTACTTATGAATTCTTACATGATGCTCTGCCTCTTTACCTATTCAAGAGTGTCTTCCAGACCACTGACCTTGCATTGCTACTGAGCTTGCTGTGTATTCAGAAATTCAGGCCCCACCCCAGAGCAATCCAACCTGCATTTAACAATATCTCTAAGTCTGGGCTATAGCAATAAAATTTGGAAATACCTTTCTGACTCACCATGACTTTTCCACCTGAGTAATAGACATAGATTATCTTGTTTAATATAAATACCACACTAAAAAGTGTATTACCTTGCATTGGAGCCTTAAGTTTATACTTTATATTTTCTCAAAAGTGTCGTGTCTACTCTGGTTTCATGGGTCTTTTACATACACTCTACTGAGATTTAGATAATATCTTAGAGAACATGACTGGGTTTTTAAAGTGTTTTATTGAATAATTAGGGTCTCATTTGTGTCAGAAGCCAATCTCTCATTTCACACTGGTCCAATGAAGAGCTCTGTCAGTGACTGCATGGTCAGTGTGCTATTTCTTTTCTTTTTTTTTTCAGGTGCTGTTGACATTCAGAGATGTGGTCATTAATTTCTCTCTGGAGGAGTGGGAACGCCTGGACCCTGCTCAGAGAACTCTGCATAGGGATGTGATGTTAGAGAACTACAGAAACATTTCCTCCTTGGGTGAGAAGATTCCCAGCAGAGGTCCTGATTCACTATTGACATTTAATTTCCTTCCCTTTGGAAACATCTCTTGGGAGCTTCTGCTTTTAGTAAATGAATTTTAGATTCCAGTTCTCAAAGAAAATAGAAGTTGCTTGATATAGACAGGATGTTCATGCTGTTCATTTTGGTGTGTAACCTGCCCCATTTCTTGAGGTGTCATGCACCCCTTATGCTAGATTAGTGGTCTTTTTGCAAGTTCACTGGCACATGTTGTGACCTATATCTTAAAGGCCATTCTCTGTCCCATGGCTTTGATTTAGTAGTAGTTGAAAGTTAAGCTCAGGATGTCAAAGTGAAATGCTTGCTGTATAATCTAATAGCTCTTTTGGAAAATAGCATTTAGAGAAATAATTTTCTAGAATTTTCCATGCTGTCTTTCTCGAAGCATTTTAATAGTTGTTGGAGAATCTCAACTTGTGTCATGTTCCATTTGGTACAAAACAGGTCTCGCTGTCTCTAAGCCCCATCTGATCATTTGTTTGGAGCAAAGCAAAGATCCTTGGACTTTACAGACACAAAAGAGAGCAGCCACACCTCCAGGTAGGAAGGAGTGGGTGAAGCAGCACACACAAGCATTTTTAATGTTTCTTAGTACATATATGCTGTACATAATTACATTCATCATGGGGAGGTGCTTCGTGGGCAGTAACACAACTGTTCATTTCCTCTTGCCCTTTTCTTTCCACCCCAGTCCACCCTGCATCCTCATTTTCCATCTGTAAGAGACCTGTCTCCCTATTTCCTTTGTCTATTGTCCTTGTCCTATTGTCTTTCGTTTTGCTCTTTGAACTATTTAAGGTAGCTCTGAGTACATCAGTTCTGCCTTCTAGAGCTGTTATTAATGTTTTTCTTTTTTTTTTCTTTTATGGCTTCTTATAATTCAACCTATTGATATTTCATTTGTTTCCCATTGATGCCCTTTGGAGCAGCTTTTGGGAGGTCAGGAGTTTGGGGTGCATTTATCACCTTGTTGGCCCATATTTTGATGTGCTAAGGCTTCAGGATTAATTAGGCAGCTTTGCTGCTGGTTTAGAGATCTGTTTAGTTGATATGTAAATTCCAGTGATGCAATCTTGGCTTTGGTTACATTTGGATATTTATCTACCTCTAAGCCTACTTAGTTTATAATAGTATCAGACACAATCATTGATCCTTACCAGTTATATATCATCAAATGGATCCAACCATAGGTAATCATGTGTTAAAAGGTTTTAACAACTTCAACCTCAAACAGACTAATGCCTCAGACAGACTAATGTAGCATTACTAACAAGTACGTTGAGGTGTAGATGGAGGGGAAAGAAAAAAGGAAATAAAAGAGAAAGTCAGTAGATGAGAAACAGTTGAAATCTGTTGGAATTATTATTGTTGGAGTGAAGGGCTGGTGTGCAGGCTTGAGAGAATGTTTGTGGAAGAAGATGAAGGGACCCGGGCGGTGTACTTGGAGGTTAAGGGAACTGTGAAAAGGTCAGACTAGATTGGCTTGAGTTTGGAGCCTGTAGGTACAGTTTTGGTGAGCGCTGCCCTGACTTGCCCTGGAAGATACTATGAAGCCGAAAGCACTGCTTCATTCTTACTGTCACCTACTATATTTGCCAGATGAATGGAGGGAGGAAGAGAGAAAAAGGGATGAGAAGAGAAGAGGATGGATAAAAAAGAGTGCAAGAAAAGAGAAGACGCACAAAAGAAACTCATGGGTTGCAAAAATACACAGTCAAAGCATCCTCACAGTTGCATTTGAGGTGCAGACTTGAGTTCACTCCCAGGTCTCTGACACGCACGCACACATGCCACCCCACCCTGTGGCTTGCTGTGTCCTGTGTGAGCAGGAGTCTTGTCCATCCAGAGGGCCGCACCCCGGGAACAGTTGCTGTGACCCTTTGCCTTTAGCCCCAGGTCCTGCCACCTCAATCATTCAGGAAGAGAAGGGAGTGGTGCAGCTGCCACCAGTGTCCACTCCTCCCTGACTTCCACCTAGTTCTCCTTAGTCCCCACTCCTTTCCCTGCCTGGCAAATCCTGCAGTTGCCTCTACAGTCCCCCCCACCCCCACCCCATCTGCTTAGAGCACCATTCTGTCTTCTGCCATGGCTCTCTCTCATTGACTGTCCCCACAGCATCGCTCCCACTGCACAAACTTGGTGGCCCCTCGGCATCCTGAAGCAGGTGTTTGAGATTCATGCAGTGATGCACACGGGTGATGGGCTACCACAAGTGTCCTGTGGTCACAGCACTGCTAATATTTGGGGGTGATGGACAGTGTTTGTTTGGGGAGCTGTCTGATCTCCTCTCCCCTGTTCCTTGTAGTAGTGCTGGCTCACACAGTTCCACAGATCTCAGATCAGGTCCTGCATCAGGGCGGTGTGTTGGTTTGCAACTTCCCAGCACCTACAGAGTTTCTCTGTACAGTGTTCACCATTGTCACTGTCTGCTGTGCTGGTTGGTGAATGTGTCATCCGCTGTGTTCCTCCCCCTGGTGGGAGTAGAAGGGCTGGGAGCTGTTGCAGCAGCCTGGCTGCAGCCAAGGTGCTGCTTCCTTCCTCAGGGTGCCTGGGGTGAGCAGACTTCCTGTCCAGAAGCGCCTGACCTCTCTCTCTAAACCCCCTGTTCTGAGCTGTGCATTTCCTGTGTCTGGCTTCTCTGCCATCGAGCCTCAGTGTCCTGCTTTCCTCCAGTGCCCTCGATACTTCCCTCCCTGCTGCCACGGCCTTGGCGATGGTGGCCCTGAAGCCAGGCTTAACTCTGTGAATGTAGCTCTGGAAATGACTTCAGAAGCCAAGGTTGATCGCTTTTGCTGTCACAGATGGCCCTCTCCTGTGACATCTGCCAAGGCTTCTCCCTGTAGTGATTACCAGGACATTGATGATGACAGCCACATTCTCCTCTGCTCCTGCAGACGCTGCCCAATCTGATTGCTCTACCCCTGCTTATGTGTCCTTATCCTGATCCTGTCCTTTGTGTTTCTGCAGATTTTGCTGTTAATGAGCTCATTAAGAAGTTGCTCTAATGCCACTTACGTATTTAGTAACTAGAGTTGTCTCATCCTAGTGCTTCAGGAATTACAGTGGATATGTGTGTGTGAAATTTTCCTGTGTGCACCGAGTGTCAGTATTCAAAGTGCCCATGCTTCGTGTGTGTGTAGTTAGAGCTGAAAAGAAAGATTTTTAGAAGTAGTGCCTCAGTGTTTATTCAGGATTTCATCCTCTGTCTGTATCTTTGTCACTTTGTCTGTCTCTCTCTTAATCCTATTTTCTATTTTTCACTTTTTAGAGTATGTTTCTTCAGACAGATTAGTAATGGTTTTAGATTATTATAATGGGTGGCAGTTTTATCTTTATATGACATCCTTTATCTGATGTGAGAATTTTTACTTAAATTAGCATTTCATCTCATATGACAGTTTTGTTTTAAAATATGTTTTTGTAGAATTATAACTGCACTCTGCTCTCTTTTGATCAGTTTTCTATATAATATAACTTTACATATCTGTTCTTTTAGGGTTCTTAAATGTAAAAAGAATCTCCAGTTGAGAGCATATATTTGGAGTCTTTTAGCTTCATTGTTATTAGCTACTTTATTGTTTTGATTAGGAGTCGAATCCACTTGTATTTAAAGAAATTACTGAAAGGGAAGAAATTCATATTGCCTCTTTGTTAATTGTTTTCTATTTTTCCTCATTTTTCTTATTGCTTTAATTTTGTGTCACTTCTGTAGAGATGCGCCTTGACCCCTGTCTCATTTCCTGTTATCTTACAGGGGTCTGTCTGTGTCATTAGCATGGGGGTTCTATGAAAGTACTTTAAATTTAGGGGTTATTTTACACTGGTAAAATTCAGCTCTGTATCATCACTCTCTGCATCTCTCAGTGTTATATCAGTGGCTTTGGGTCACAGCCATCCTTGCACTGTACACCACCTTCCAGCAGACATCTGTGATGGTTTTTTATGCTTTCACCTCTCAAACTGCATAGCAGACTTAAAGGTGTCTCAGGCACCTTCACTCAGTAGTACAAAATTATTAGTAGGTTTGCTGGCTGCAGCATTCTGGGTTGGTAGTTTTTATTTGTTCAGCACTTTCCTGATCTTTTCTGGATTTCAAGGTTTCTGCTGAGAAATCACCTGGAAATCATGGAGGAGAAGTTCTGTAGATAACACTTTACTTTTCCTAATGCTCTCAGGGTGGTTCTGTGACTTTTGACACTTTGCTTTTCATGCACATTAGTTTAAATCTCATCTTGTTTATCCCAGTGAGAGATAATTGAGCTTGTTGAATTTCAGTCCCTTTGTTGCCTCATATTTGAGGATTTCTCAGGCATTATTTCTCATTGAATTCTTCAGCCACAGCATTTCTAGTTTTTATGTCTTTGCTAATAGTCTCATTGTCTTGGTTCAGTTTTCTATGTTTTGTTGATCTAATCAGGAATCTTCAACATGCTTGTTTTGAATTTTTAGATAATGCAGATCTTTTGCTTGGTTACCATCTCATGTTTTGTTACCCTGATTAGGCTGTATTAATGTGTGTTGTCTGTTCCGTTACAGCCCTCTTGCTGTAGATCAGTGAAGTTAGCATGGAAAACAGAATGAAAGACCTTAGAAATAGTGGTAGGGAGGTAGTTCAGCTTCAGAGCACTTACCTAGCGTATGTGAGGCTCTGGGTTGGATCTCCAGCCCCACAAAAAAGAAGAATGGAACAATCACACGACCCAGTAATTCCATGGTGGGCTGTGAAGCCAAAGGGAATTAAATGAGTATATTGAAATATTTCCACTGCCAGGTGTGCTGTATCATTATTCAATACACGAACTCAATCCAATTCTCATCAATACTAGAATATATAAAGACATGGTACAAAATTCTTGCCATGTCATTCAGCATGGGTAACGCAATCCTTGTAGTGAAGTGAAACAAGCCAGACACACATAGTCAACTTGGCATCTTGTTAATATGTTGAGCTACAGAAATTGACCTCAGAAATATGAAGTGGTAGCTAAGGGGAGAGTTGTGATGGTGTTGATGGAAAGCAGCAGAACTTCAGTTAACTTGTCATAAGAAGTCCAGGAGATACACTGCATAGCGTGATGATTATAGTTAATATACTGTGTTCTTGAAAAGTGCTATAAAATATATGTGCTGTTGCAAGCACAAGATGGTAATTATACAAATTATGCTTATAATTATTGGGTTAATTAGCTAGAGTTAGTCATCTATCATATATATATTTCCAATCATCATGATGTTTATTGTCAGTATATAGCAATTTAAATAAAAATAAAAGTTTAAAAATGCAAAGCAGTAATTTGTCCCAATCTGTATGGGTTAAGGAACAATCCATTGGACTAGAATACATGTCTTTTCTAGATTTGTGTGTAGTTTTCCCATTAAAAAAGTTTACCTGTGTCTTGTCTTAAACCTTAGAGTCTTTCCTTACTCTAGTTGGCTGTATGGGGTGCTGCAATTGTCACTTTCTTGGTATAATAATCACTTTCTTCTGTCTCAGCTGTTGTAAGTCTCATCCAAAATACGCTGAATGTCAGAAAACTGATACTGTTGAGACACCCCACAAGTGTAAAGAATGTGGCAAAGCCTTTAGTAGAGGCCCATCCCTGACAAAGCATATGATAGTGCACACCAGGGAGAAACCCTACAAAAGTGAGGAGTGTGGCAAAGCCTTTAACTGCGGCTGCAGACTTACTAAACACCAGAGACTCCATACTGGCAAGAAACCCCACAAGTGTGCAGAATGTGGCAAAGCCTTTGATCGAAGGTCTAGGCTTATTCAACACCAAAGACTTCATACTGGCGAGAGACCCTATAAATGTGAGAAATGTGGTAAAACCTTTGTTGGAAGCACAAGCCTAACTCGACACCAGAGAGGTCATACTGGGGAGAAACCCTACAAGTGTGCAGAGTGTGGGAAAACCTTTGATCGAAGCTCCAGACTTCTTCAACACCAGAGAATTCACACTGGGCAGAAACCCCACAAATGTGTGGTATGTGGCAAGACCTTTGACCAAAGCTTAAGCCCTATTCAGCACCAAAGAGTTCATACCAGCAAGAAACCCCACAAGTGTGCAGAATGTGGCAAAGCCTTTGATCGAAGGTCTAGGCTTATTCAACACCAGAGACTCCATACTGGTGAGAAACCCTACAAGTGTGCAGAATGTGGCAAAGCCTTTGATCGAAGGTCTAGGCTTATTCAGCACCAGAGAGTTCACACTGGTCAGAAACTGTACAAATGTGCAGAATGTGGGCAAGCCTTTAATCAAAGTTCAAGCCTTACTCAACACCAGAGAGTCCATGCTGGAGAGAGACCCTACAAATGGGAAGGATGTAGGAAAGCCCTTGATCAAAGCTCCAGACTTCTTCAATACCAGCTTTCATAGTGTACCCACAAATGTAAGAATGTGGTAAAGCCTTTGCTGGATGCTGCCCTGTTAGTTCAGTATAGGACACCTTGAACTGGAGGTCTCCTCTTAGAAGCTGTCCAATCACTGACCCCTGGATATAAATTTCCACATTTACTTTTCTGTATGCACAGCTGGGCTCAGATCCATGCTGAAGTCTCTTCCTTTGTCAACACTGCTGAGTAAACTCAGTCTTTGCTGCCTTTAACACTGTCCAGGTCACTTCTTGTCAACATCTGTGATTTCGTGATAGTTTTAAATGCAGGTATAAGTAGTCCACAAATAAGTCCACCTACATATACAATAATTGTGAAATTCTATGCAAAATGATTTATTAGATAATATATCTACATATCAGTTAATATAAATTAATGCCAACATCAGTGTGTGCTTTGTAGCCCCAAAGAGGTGACATGTAAATAAAACAAGAAAAATAAATATACATAATTAAGGACCAAGCAAATAAGGGCTTATATTTTTGTACAGCCACCATACTATCCCAGTAAAAATTTTAAAAAAATGAATTAATAGTAACACATGGGAATAATGGTCTCTAAATTATCTTAAATTTCATAAAAAGATTACTGTGAAAAAAAGATTGCTAAAATCTAATTTTCTTTATATTATTATCATCTATTATTATTATCATCTATTACCTGTAAGATTCCATAGGTGGAGGAGTTTAATAGTTAATATTTAATAACATGTCATTCAGTAGTCAACACTGTAACCCAGGAAGAGCCATACACTTTTATTTACTAAAAATTTTAAGATTACTAGAAAATACTGACAGTAATCCAAAACTCACTGTATGTTCTCTGATTAAAACACAAAGTTTAGAAACCAAGGAAGTAATCTACATTAACCAGTGTGAGAATTCAGCTTCCTTCAGTTCTCTGATTGGAGGCTGTTAAATAACAGTTTATATCAGTTCATTTTTAGCGAGGTAGGTTTGGTTTTGTTGAGACTGAGTCTCTCTGTGCAATCCAGGCTGGTCTTGAACTATGTAGTCTAAACTGACCTAGAACTTGTAGCTATCCTCCTACCTCAGCCTCTGGAGTGCCTGTAATTACAGGTGTGTACCACCATGCCCAGATAAACTTATATAACTTCAGAGATAAATTATGAACACTACATAGTATCTATGAGGTATCTTTAGTATCTATGAGGATTTTTGTTTTCTGCCAAATCAACTATTGATGTCCATTAACTTTTAAGCAACAGTTACTACTTGTCCCATTATCTGTAATTATATTTCCCTTCATTAATAATTCTCTCACATATATTAAAGATCTAATTTGTTTTTATGTATGATATTCTCTCCCTCTGTGTGTGTGGGTGTGTGTGTGTCTGTCTGTCTCTCTCTTTTTGATACAGAGTCTCACTTCATAATTCAAGCTGCCTTGAACTTACTATGTACCCTGGACTGACCTCAAACTCATGACAATCCTCCTGCCTCAGTGCTGGGATTATAGGCATGTATCCTTGCCAAGTGCTGGGATTACAGGCATGCATCACTACATCTGACCATGTCTCATTTTGATACTAAACTTTCTTTAAATACATTTCTATGTTTTTTTACTTTTGTAGAGTTTCTGTACAGGACAAATTCTCTACTGCTAATGACATGAAAATGGTACCAGGTGTGTCCAAAAACCTTCACATCCACAAGATTTTTATCAAACATGAATTCTGTGACACTTTTTAGATGTAAATACTGGGTAAAATCTTTGCTACATTTTGAACATTTGTAAGGTTTCTCTCTAGTACGAATTCTCTGTGCTGAGCAAGAGTTTGTCTTCCCACAAAGGCTCTACTATATTCTGCACATTGGCATGTTATCTCTCTAGTGTGGATTCTCTGGTGCCAGATAAGATTTGAGACTTTTATAAAGGCTTTACCATGTTCTTTCCATTTGTTAGGTTTTTTTTCTTGTATGAGTTCTCTGAATAAAACTTCAGCTTAGTTAAATGGTTTTGCCATGTCCTTTGTATCTATGAAGTTGTATCTATGAAGTTCCAGTATTTATTGTTTAGTAAACAGTAAGGTGTGAAATTTGTATCTGTAAAGTTTCTTCTCACTATATATTGTTTGGTGAAGAGTAAGATGTAAAATTTTACATTGATAAACCTTCTCACCAGTATGAATTCTCTGGTATGCAGTAAAATCTGAGCTTTGATGAGAGACTTTGCCTCATGTTTTTACATTTATAAAGTTCTACCCCAAATCTATTTCCTGGTAAAATATGAAATTTGATCATCCTCAAAATCTATTACTAAAGCCACAACCTAAAACAGCTATAAAACAACTCAATATTTTTCTGAATTATAGTCAGCATACTGTACTGTGCTGCGTACTCATGCATACTCATACTATACACTTACTTACTCATGTCTACTGTGGTACAATTCACAATAACTAAACTAGTGGGGCTGGGGATTTAGCTCAGCGGCATAAGCACCTGCCTTGCAAGCAGGCAGTCATGAGTTTGATCCCCAGTACCGATAAAAAGACAAAAGACAAAAAAAAAAGAGAAAAAGAAAAAAAACTGAACTAGTAAAATTCTTGGTGCCTACCAAGTGATGAATGTATTAAGAAAATTAAACATACATGCGAAATGGACAAATACTATCTTAATTACTTTTTCTCATTGCTGAGACAAAATACCCAACACCCCAAATGAAGGAAGGAAAGGTTTATTTAGCTTACAACTTTTGGAAGCTTCAGTCCATACCCTACTGGCTCCAAGGCAAGGTGCCTGGCAGAGCTGAAGGGCAGCCATTCATATAACTGACAAGAGTGGAAAGAGCACAAGGGATAAACATGCCTTCTTCTTTTTTTTATATTGTATGCCAGCTACTCACCCCTGAGTAGATGTAGCACTCACACTGCCAATCTCAGTGCTAGATAATGGAGTAATCATGAATGCAAGACTCAGCCACCTCCATGACTGCTTGAGGCTTTGGAAGGACAACCAGACACGAACTGTAACAAGTACTACTTAATCATGAAGAAAAGTAAAGTCTTGACATTTGCACATAAAGTGATGGAACTAGAGATCAATGCATTATCCAAAATAAAAATCTGACTTAAAGAATATCTTAGGACCCGGGATTTAGCTCAACACCATAAGTGCTTGCCTTGCAAGCACAAGGTTGTGAGTTTGGTCATTGGTGCCAAAAAAAAAGAAAAGAATATCTCAGATATTTTCTCTCACGTAGGATCCTTAAAAAAAAGATAATATGAAAGTAGGTGAATATTATAAAAGAGAAAGAGAATATGGGAGATGGAGTGTAGAGCAAGAGGAAATTATCCAAGCCTGTTCTGTGGATGTATGAATAAGCCAAATAAAATCGACTGTTCTGTATAAATAATATGAATATGAGCTAATGATGAAAATAAGTCAGCTCACAATAAAGCATTGAAATGAGTGAGTGAATTGGGTGACAGAGCAGCACAGTTACAACAGATTGAATAAAAGTAACCCTAGTTTTTTTTTCTTTTTCTCCTTTTATCGGTATCGGGGATCGAACTCACGACCGCCTGCAAGGCAGGTGCTTATGCAGTTGAGCTAAATCCCCAGCCTCAGTAACCCTAATTTTTATAGAATTATGATGATAATAAGTTATTGAGAACTCAGAAGAAGCAAAAGAATGATTTTTCACCAACACATTTTGAGTTAGCCCGGGTCTATCTCCCACCACTGACCCGGAGCTGCTGCAGCTGGCAGGAAGTGAGTCCAAGAATGGCTTCCACTCCCTCCCTCCGCTGACAGGACTCCGCAGTCAGAGACCAGTGGGAATGCCTGGCTGGAACACAGGTGGTGGACAGGTGGTACAGAAAAGTCTGAAGAAAGCCAGTAATCTGCGCATCTATTTAGAGGAGAGCAATATGCAAATGGTAACTACTCTGGGGGAGGGGAAGAAAAGGCTGAAGCAACAGTAACAGTATAAGCCAGTCAGCATAAGTTAGTGAGTCAGCCTTGTGCTTGGGAACAAAGACACGTGAAATAGAAGCAGATAGGTAGGTCCACCCTCTTTTCTTTTTATTCTTATCTTTCATTCTTGCATTTTTAATCTTTTTTTCCTTCTTTTTAAAATGGCTGGGGAGAGCTCCAGTCACAGAAAACTAATCCCATCCCCCAAATCAAGAAACAAAGATCAGACTTGGACCTATCCCAGAACTGTAGACACTAGAGAAATCTCATTGCTTTTATTTTTCTCTGCCTGATGGGTTTTCCTCTTGGTAGTTGACTGAATTAATGTTTTTTGCTGTTGTTTATTTGTTCTTTTTTTGTTGTTAGTTTTGTTGTCCTTTGTTGCTGTTTTTGTTTTTTTTTCCTTTCTTTTTCTTTTTATCTCTGTTCTGTTTTTTTTCTACACATTTGTACATTTCCCCCATATTTGTGGTTATTTTTATGTTTTTTCTTTTTTTATATCTCTAAACTTTCTTTTTGTTTTATTCATCCTCTTCATTTTCATCAACTATCTCCCTTGATTTTATGATGTTTTCATGTGAGAAAGCATTGTCTCGTCTCTATCTGGTTCACTTTAATACACCTAGGCATTCTCTTTCAATCCTTTACTCAGTGTCCTACAATTATTGAAAACTTGGATGATCATCCTATGCCCTCCAATCTTACTCCTACTATATTTTATTTCATCCCACTCTCCATTATACCCCCTATATCTCTTAAACCCCCCTAATAATAGGGTAAAAATCACTCTACTAAGGGGAAAACCTTGCATGCAAGCTCCTGGTTTAAGTTAGATTATACTACACAACCACAGAACTTGCTCCTATGGTTAAAGATATCAGGCTAATAGTTACCAATTTGTCGGTAGCCAGGCTGTACTTGAGTCCAATGTTATTGCTAACTGTACTTCTTTGGCTAGATGTCATACCTGTTATACTCAGTTTTTCTCTCCATATGACAACGCTGTGACTGTAGGGGTCATAACCACCACCATAGTCCAGTACCAAAGGAATGGACCTTGAGTCACATAGATAGTAATTTCACATTCTGCATACATTAGGAAGGTAGGTTCTTGGGATAGACATAAAGACCAAGAACCACCTACATCCTGGGAGATCAGACATCTGCTGAGAAAGCCTCAACACCAGGGATAAAGCTATCTAACATTTAAAAATCTACAGGCATCAATACAGAAAACAAAATAAAAAGTAGAAAATGATGAGACAAAG